CTTGCGCGCATAGTTCTCTTCGCGTTGCTGCCCTTTTTTCTAAATGCCCTGCTCCCCGTGTAATGCCAACGTTCTCCTTCAATAATGACGGCGGGACCGTATGGAACATTTAGTGGTGAGCTTAGTCAATCTGGTATCTTGACTCGCTCACTACAATTAGTGAGCCGATGTTTCTTCAAAAGAAGTCGATTACGGTGAGTCTATTATTCATCTATCACCATTTTTATAATGTCGCAATACTATTAATAATGTCTTTTATGTATATTATACTTGCAAAAACGTTTCGAAATGGTAGATAGCTATAATAATAGACTACGAGGTTCAGGTCATTGCATTTTCACCTGTCTCCTCCCCGTCACTTCAGGTTGTTAGTTTATTTTAAGTGGTCGATTTTCGCACTAACGCTAGGCACTTGGTAGCCACAAGTGCCCAAGTTTCTGTCGTATCGTTTGGTAGCAGTAAGTCATAAGCTACGATGCTTCGACCACTCACTGAGGATGGCTTTGTCATTCCTACCTATGGTACACGACAGCTAACTGTCAACCTGAATAACCGACGACAGTATCTATGGACGTTCATCCCTTCTGATGTTCCCATAACCTTACTCGGTATCGATTCCTCACAGCACTATGAATTGCTATTCGATTCACGTAGGCTGCGTTAATCGATACTTCGTCGAATATCAAATCCATGGTTTAAAACGCGCAAACAGGTATGCAGCGAATGACCAATGTATATTTTTTTGCATTACTATTTATTTCATGTTATATTTGATAAATTCCCAAAAGTAACGAAACCGAGGAGATTCAACTGGTGATTAATTATGTGGTAAGCCACATCGTCACCTGCAGACCCAAAGTCACGGCAAAACCTCGCCGACTGGCACTAGACAGATTATTTTTCGCTAAGCGTGAGTCTGAGAGTTTACTTGCTATATGTGTAGTGAAAGAGAACACAGGTGGAGCAACCGAATTGTATTTAACGAAAATTACAGAGTTACTCAGTAACATTGGAAAACCATATCGTAAAACGTTAATTTGCAAAATATCAGTTCATCATATCGAACTGGACTGTTCCTGTTGCAAAACATCAATCCATTGTCACTATTCATGAGTTTCATACAAATTCCATTGTTTTCTAACTTTTCTTCCTTTCTTGATCTTCCCCCATCTTCTGCTGCCAGACATTACGTTGACGCTCACGTCATATACTACTTATAAGTAGCTTGCACCACAGCACCACATATGTATTACTTCGTCTTTCTCACAGTTCTTAAGACTCCTCTCTCCACTTGGTTCGCAGAAAGATGGCATTTGTTGGAGACGACATGGCGATTACGGAGCAGCAACGGCAGATATCCGATGTTCGGCCCCCGAACTTGTATACGGCACGACATTTCATCTGCCTGGGGAATTTTTCAAACCACAGAGCAGCGATTTTATGTATATCAGTTAACGTCCAACGACTATCTGCGTAGATGCGAACACTGCCTCCGGTGTGAACTGGAATATAACATCGACAAGTTGCTTTCACTCGAAAGTTATTCACCTGTCCGCAAGTTTTCTTACGAGTAGATTCGGTACTCAACAACCGTACGAAGGATCTTTTCACGTGATCTCCCGTCACGAAAAGATCTTCAAGGTTAATGGACACAATCAGCATTGATTATCTCATACCAGCACACTTCAATGACAGTGCCCTACCTGGTATACCGAGATTTAATGCTGGACTCGTCCAACTCACTAGCGGGATCCTTATTTTTCCTTCTGATCCCACGATAGAGAAATCAAAGACCTCATTTTCACGTCGCAGTCAGCAGCACGCGTCATCTGCACTATCCACGGATGAGACTCCGGTCTCACGCCCAGATCAGCAGACCACGCCGCACTTGACTGCGGATGAGAATGCAGGCTCACGAGGTACGCACGAGGCTACTGTCTCGCGTTCCGGTCGCCGCGTACGCCTACCTGTACGCTTTCTCGACTAACTACCAATCAACCACCAGTGCGACATGGGATTTTACCCTCATACTACATGCATGCTACACTTTTCTGCCTTTTCTTTGATGCTTTTATCCCGAGCCTATACCTCCGACCATTGCCCTGTTGGTACCGTCGACATCAATCAAGCTTGGCGAAAGCTGCTGCTCGTTATATCGCCTACTCTTACCTTCAAACATATTCTTTACCTTGGATTTACTGATACTTCATTGATGGGCTAGTAATTAGTATTTAGTTGTGATCATAGTCATCAATCTCGACACGGTCACCATTAAAAGTTTACCAGTGATTGTTTTACTGAAATTCTTGTTTATTCTAAAATTTTTGTAACGCTCTTTCCCGTTACGTGGTCGCCATGTTGATTTTGGCGCTCTGTATACTTTCGCACATATTCAGTGGCATGGTTTCGGTACTCTTTGGATACCACGAAATCGCCAGTAAATACAATCTTTCATTTTAAATATCTCTTCTTCCGTGTTTTTGGTTCACGATAAGACAGCGTGTTAAGACTAGAACGTAATTGGTGTGTAGTAGCGTTCATAGACAACCTCGACTCGACGAACTACTACAGTATCTTACTTCATTGTTGGAATCTACTCGAACCGTATTGGTTCGCTTGCTCTTTGTCATTTATTTTTATAGCTATGAAGCAGAAAATTTCAATTACATTGCTTTTTACTAATTGATAATGGGTATTTTAATTTGCTGAAAATTCATTCATAATGATACACACAGATTATTCACATGATATTCGAATTCGTGGACCAAGTCACTTTAATGGATCGACAGGCAGCTGAGTAATCATCATTCACTAACTTGTAATTGGAGAACAGTACACTATCCTAGCCGAAGTGACACATGATTAGTAATATCAGTAACTGCTTAGTTAACAGACCTTCATTTTGTCAGGTTGTAGTGCCTCCACATACATTTGAGTTTGCTTATATTTAATTTGGTCAGGACTTTCGATTAGCTTATTTAATCAAGCCATTTATATAGCAGCAACTTAAATGTACCATTGGTTTTTACCACTGTCTCGTTTGTATGAGCTGGTACGACTGAATATTGCTTACGCCTACGTGCATATTCATCCTACTCGCTTTAATATTAATCTCTCAAATATCTCGATGACTCGACATTTCCCTATGTAGGTATACGAATATTTTAATATTAATAATACATTCACCAATTCTCCAACTCGTTCGCTGGTTTGCTTGCCCTGCTCTATTTGATTGTGGTCTGCTAGTCCATTTTGTGGTGTGTCAAAAATAAATGTATTCAACACTTTGTGTTTGCCTTCTGGTTTAAAACCTTCAGGCACTCTTTGGTGACGATTGCCTAGACGAGCAAATTACGAAGACTAGGGATACGTCGAATATTAACCGTCATGAAACTAGTGATACACTGGCCACCACAAGATAATGAATGCCTCCATATCGGCCACGAAAAATTGAAAAAATATTATGCTACTGTGATGAGGATGTAGGCAAAGGTTAGTTTGATTGGACGCAACTACGACTATCCACAAAATATTCAAAGTGTTTTTGAGTAACTCGTATTATGTTTTATGAAAAAACAACTTTTGTGCTCTATTTGAATGGTTCTATTTTGGTAAGGAAAACACATTTTATTGAATTCGCAAAATACCTTAAATGGTACAGCTTGTGCTATACAGTCAAAGGTTTCTGTAGCACAATATATTGGACTGAAGAACAAAAGGAACAGTTGAAAAATAAGTATACAATACCTGAACATCAAAAAAGTACTGCCGTCGAGATTGGATCGAATATTTACTTACAAGCTTCACCACTAGGCAGTCAAAGGTCAGCAATCATTAAAGGAACCATGCTTTAACCTTGCGTTCGGCCAGGCGCGATGTAAGCAGGGATTTTCAGAGTATTCTTCCGCCGCAAGATAGTTCTGATGCCATTCACCTTGCCAGACGATAAAACTTCAATTCAAATTGACGCTCTCAAATATAAATTGTTGAAAACTAGCCACCTATAACAAACGACAACTAACTTTAAATCGGAAACACAACACTATATTTTCCATGGTCCATAGTTAGTACCTATCCTATCGGATTTTGTGGGGACTACAGACTTCTCAGCAGCTGAACTTTTCCAGGCACACTTTAAAAAAATTCTTCCTTGATTTACCAGATGTAACTATTTTATGAAAAATCAATCCAAACTAAATATACTACAATACACCTATTTACTATAATTAGTTTCTGAAAACTGCTGTAACTAGCTCCTCAGGCTAAGTTCATTTATTCTTGCGTCCTTGGTCCTAGAAGTGAAGCGTAAACCTTTCATATCTTTAGTGATTGAATTTAACCTTCCTGTATGATTATGTAGAAAAACCACCAACCGTTAGGAGCGACCAAATGTAGCACTTAACACATACTCAAAAAATGATGTGAGTACAAAGTTTATAATAATACAATAAGTCCTGAAACACGCAGATTACGAAAGCAGTTCTGTTTGAGTGTCAAAGTATCTAACGAATTCCTGAAATTGAACAGGTTTGTTGGAGATTATTATTTACTGGACTGATAAAGACATTCAAGTCATGTCCTAAGACTCGTGGATTTCACAGTCTTCCACGCATAGCTGGACCTGCACTGATGATGGTGATATCTGCTTAATTTAAGTGAGGATGGTACGAATCTCCAACTTGATTCAAAGTCACAACTCGCAAGTACTGCCTATCCGGGGCTATCTAATGGGGGTATCCAGATAGTGCAACTTTTTGGTGGGTTTATAGAACAGAATGAACCACACCTAAGCAATTTCTTACATAAGATATAGCATAAGAGAACAAAAAGGATAAACACAACGACGCAGCTTTTTCTCGATTCAACACACTATTGTGTAGCCATTGTTATCTAGGAGTACGTTCTTCATAATTATTAAGATTTACGTGTTTGAGCTGTATCACAGAAACCTTGAAATTATACCTCATGGCTAGTCACCACGGACCACATTATAATTATCGCTACAGTTTTGTAAAGATTGTAAAATATTAACCAATTTTCCGGGAAGTTCTGAACTTGAAAATTGTTTAGTACAGGATAGTGGAGGGGAAATGACTAAAATATGGATGGAACAGATTATTTCTACAAAACAACTAGAAAATAATCACCTAGGAGGAGGAGAAACCAGACGAGAGCCTATCAAACTACAGTTTACTACTATAAGTTACCCCGCTAAGCAGAAGAAATATCAATACAAACTCTACTAACTTTTTTTAAACAACAATTAAATAGTACTCAGAGGTTAAGATTAGACTCCAAAAACTCTAAGCAAGTACTGAAGAACCGACCACCGTGGTTGTTCATGAGGTATCCAAACTGTTTTGGGGTGGTCCGAATGAAGCTCGAGTAAACTGCAAAGAGCAGTGGTGGTAGTTCTCTCGCCATCTAGGGAGGCACATCAATACCTCCATTCTCATGTTCAAGCTAACTTATCGTTCACTTATCACAATGAATATGTGACTTAACTGAAGTTCGAAGTTCAGTGTCAAAACAGATGTTATGAAAGCCACTCTGTAACAGTGAGAAACAGGGAATATTTCATACTCTTAAACGTGATGGTAAACATCACGTCCTACAACTTATAAGAAATAATTTCGAACAGCTACTCATAAGGAGAGACATCAACACTTCCAATACCTCATAAAAGACAATACAGAATAAAATGTTTAGTTCAAGAAACAAAAATCAACCATAAAGAAAAGCGAAACTTAAAATGGGTTGAAAGCTATCTGGACTACTTACTGTTGAAAGATCGTCAGCCACTCGAACGCATCCACTTCGAAACATGCAAGGGCAGTAAAGATTGTGGTGCTTTCAGATTTTACAAAGTCCTATAAGAAACATTACTGTGGTATGAGAGTAATTTGTGCATATTATAATCGCAAAGAAACTTTCCGTGAATAGAAGAATATCTCTGAGCTGTTCGCCGTCCTTATATTTTTTAACGTGCCAGCTACGTCCTCTCACATTTTTTGATCTTCTAAAAAGAAAAAGGGAATATATATCAAGTCCAAAACAATTTCTCGATTGCGTACCTCTTAATCTAAAGTAGGAACAGGTGAAGAGTTCTAACTTCGCTGACGATATGTACATGATAAACCTTAGAGTTCTGGAATTGTACGGATAGTCAATATTTGCAAAGTATCCAAACCCTAATTTAATATATATCTTGCAACCTGAACGCCGTTTTCAAGTTTACATTTCGCCAAAGTTGTGTATGCCGTCCTAAACATACTGGTATCCAACTTGATAAATGTCCGTCTTAATGCCGATAGGGTTCCAAACCACTGCGCTGTAAGCGTACGACAGTGAGTTTCGTCTAAAGATAGAAGCCCAAGGATGCCCCAAGGTCATTGTGACACCGGATTACTGACATATACTCTTGCTTTGTTGCGTGTCCTATTTGCCTTCATGTCCTCAACATGCATGCAGACGCACTTGACCTTACTCATAGGCACCAGCCATGTCTGAATTAGCTACGCAGAACGTATAAGTCAATCTGAGATGCTCACGTGTCTATATCCATCATTATTTCTCACCACAATTTTGCACCATCAACATAAAGCATCATCACTGAATTAAGGATATTCAGGAGTTTGTTCACATGTATTAAAATAAAGAACTTTCAACAGAGCCCTTCGGCGCCCCACTAAGTGGAAGTGATCATCACTTTCTATATTCATCCCACCAGGAAACCTTTGACTTTTTTCAGATGATCTGCAATTTCTACATTTTCTGACTTCATGAGGAGTCTATTGTTCGACAATTAATCGAATGCTTTTCCAAGGTCTACATCGACATCCACTGATTTCCCCTTATGTAGCGACACTGTTCATTTCTCACTTGCTATGAGGAGGTTTTTTATGCTAGACAGCCATGTTGTTCACTGTCTGCAAAGTTAATTGCTTCCACGAAGGCCATTATGGCATTTCTGATTATTTTTCCCAGTATGTGGACTGCGACACTAGTGAGGCAGAAGGGTGTAGAATCCTTTTTGAATGCTTTGTGTTTTGGAAAATCCCTCCATGTTTACATATTTTTGCTATGACATGACGGACTTTTTCCTTTGATATTTTTGGTATTTTATTTGATTCCAATTTGAGGCTTTATCATTGTATATTGTTATTCTTTCTATATTTTGTACTTATATTGAAGTTTTTGTGTTTGCTTCTGAACTGTACATATGTTGTTTAAATTTGATATAATATGGCTACCGCCACATTTTTGGACGGACGCAGTGGCCGCTGGACTTAGCGTCACTTATTCGTTATTGTGTCTGATACTCTGCGGAGTAACCTTACCCTGGAAGAAGCACTATATCCAGACGTTTTCTCCTAGAATTTTGTCCTTTTTGAATTGGTTGGGACCCGGGACTGGGAAAAGCGTACAGGAGTGCCTCTATTGGAACCAATTGGGACGGCCACTGTAGAAATACATTTACAGTCTGGAAATAATTCTATTACGATTACCGTTGGATTATTAAGAATTATAAAGAAACATTTGGAATTTTAATCGTTTATCACACTAGACTTTCTTGGAGGAAGAAGTTTGGATTATTTATCATATTCCGAAGCTGAACTGTGGAATTACTATATTTTGTATTTGTTACCTTTCCTTTTGAACTTCATTTATGATGTCAAACAGAAAAAAATCACACATGAGGAGGGTGGAAGAGCTCGACGGATCACAGGGCTCTAGGCAAGTCGTTAATGATGCACTTTTTATGGGTAACCTACATGTTATGTCTGATATTTATTATTGTAAGTCACCTTTGGCAGGCATTAAGGAACAAGGATTAAGTGAGAGTTCTAAAGTACCAGAGACCGATCAGATACGAAAGACATCGATAGAGGGTTTAGAACTACCTAAGGTTGAACTTTCATTTTTTGATGGAAGGTCTCGCGACTATTTTAGGTTCATGCGACAGTTCGAAACGTTTATAGAACCCCAAATAAAAGACGACCAAGTTCGTTTATTGTATTTAATTCATTATTGTAAGGGAAAAGCAAAAAATGCGATTGAAGGCTGTATTATTATGGATCCACAAGCAGGATATAAGAGAGCTAAGGCCATTTTAAAACAGCTCTTTGGACAGTCGCATGTAATAGCCCGAGAAACCTTAGAGGATTTATTTAGAACTGGGAATGTAGATTTTAATGATCCTGAATTATTGACGAACTTGGCTATTAAAATGCAGAATGCTGCTTTAACTTTAGAACAGCTAAATTGCACAACGGAACTTAATTCCATGGTTACTTTAGAACGAATAGTCAGGCTCTTACCTCGTCGAATGCAAGCCCAGTGGGCAGAGCTAGGAATCAAGTGGGACGAAGAGGAGAGAGAGCCTAATTTTAACGAATTGACGGAATTTATTATGTCTCGTGCTAAGATAGCTAGTAGTAGGTTTGGAAGATTAGCTTATCGGGCTAAAACAGAACATAATACGGAAGCTACTAGTGGTCTGCGTGTGAGACATGAGGATTTTTCGTTTCTACCTAAAGCACGCTCGGAAGATAAGAGATTTGTCAATTATATCACGAAAGCATACGCTGATGAAGGACGAGTATGTGACCGTAACGATGTAAAACCTCTTGATGCGTATCCTAGCAAGAAGCCGGTTGGTGTAACAGATAAGATGGCTTTTCTAAGTATAGAAAAGAAAGAAAAAGGTGAAAAGTGTAGGCATCAAGATGGATCCGAAGTGTGTGATGATAAAAGCCTCTTAGCTGCTCGAAAAGCCTGGAACGGTTATTTGGATTCGAGTAATCAGAGGTTAATGAGTTCAGCAAATATGAATAAGGCCCAGGCAGGATTGTCTGAACGGAATAAAGTTTATTTTCGGAACCCTTCAGTTAGGGTAAATTATATAACTGGACCTAGAGTAGATTCTAGGATAAGTGATGGTGGTACTGTAAAGGCTAAGAAGCCTAGGAGACAACATGATGCTACTATTACTAAGAAGCCTAAACCTCATGCTCTTTCGGATGCTACGACTAGCCATGGAAATAGTAGCCATCAGAACCTTAGTAGTGACAGTGATAATAAGGAGATAGAAAGTGTCAGCAGTCCACCTATAGTGACTAGTCTATCAACTACATCGAATGAGCCTCCTAGTGTTTCGACGTCATCGGACCTCGTCACGAATGTTAAGTTGATTGAAGATGCACAAGGTTTTGCAACTGTAACTGTTCATATTCCGGTTGACTGTCAGTCGAGTGATGATGAGAAGAAAGTGTTTGATGGTAACGGCCAGTCTACAGCGTTGTGTGATGACGATGCTATTGATGAGCATATGTCTTGTGTCTCTGAAACGGATGCTAATGCACACCAAATCGACGCGACTTGTCTGACAGAACGGAATCATTTAGACGTTGATAATAAACTGGATGTCACTGATGTGACAATGATAAAGCCTCAAATTGGAATCAAATAAAATACCAAAAATGTCAAAGGAAAAAGTCCGTCATGTCATAGCAAAAATATGTAAACATGGAGGGATTTTCCAAAACACAAAGCATTCAAAAAGGATTCTACACCGGCCCGCAAAATCCCTCCATGCAAAAAGAGCAAGCGTTAATGACACTTTATTTAGGGTTCCCAGTTATCCCCTAATCCACACCGGAATAACGTGTAGGACTTACAGCAGTACGCCTACCCGCCATCCAACATGGATATGACCTATCGTGTTACCTAGGTACCTATACTTTCCCATCAGGCCCTCGATTCCCCTATCTATCGTGGAATGACCTAACGGTAGTATAAACCTTACCCAATTAACCCACACGAACATGAACAACACGTCGTAAAACTGGTCATATCCTATCCGGGAACTACATTCCCTATCATGGGGACGAGTCGCCAATCCACCACCACTTGCTCCGATCAGCAGATACAATGAAGTCCGTGATGCTAACTTATCAACAGAAATTCTTGACCCGTAGATAATATGCAAGGGTGGGATCTCCAATTTTGACATTTCATCGTCTCCAGAAGACTTTAAGTAGCATGATGTGGGATCAATATTTATCTTTCCATCTCCCGATACAGAGGAGGTTTGATCAGTGTTCGTCATCGTCGGTAACTCATTTGTCACATCAGTGACATCCAGTTTATTATCAACGTCTAAATGATTCCGTTCTGTCAGACAAGTCGCGTCGATTCGGTGTGCATTAGCATCCGTTTCAGAGACACAAGACATATGCTCATCAATAGCATCGTCATCACACAACGCTGTAGACTGGCCGTTACCATCAAACACTTTCTTCTCATCATCACTCGACTGACAGTCAACCGGAATATGAACAGTTACAGTTGCACAACCTTGTGCATCTTCAATCAACTTAACATTCGTGACGAGGTCCGATGACGTCGAAACACTAGGAGGCTCATTCGATGTAGTTGATAGACTAGTCACTATAGGTGGACTGCTGACACTTTCTATCTCCTTATTATCGCTGTCACTACTAAGGTTCTGATGGCTACTATTTCCATTGCTAGTCGTAGCATCCGAAAGAGCATGAGGTTTAGGCTTCTTAGTAATAGTAGCATCATGTTGTCTCCTAGGCTTCTTAGCCTTTACAGTACCACCATCACTTATCCTAGAATCTACTCTAGGTCCAGTTATATAATTTACCCTAACTGAAGGGTTCCGAAAATAAACTTTATTCCGTTCAGACAATCCTGCCTGGGCCTTATTCATATTTGCTGAACTCATTAACCTCTGATTACTCGAATCCAAATAACCGTTCCAGGCTTTTCGAGCAGCTAAGAGGCTTTTATCATCACACACTTCGGATCCATCTTGATGCCTACACTTTTCACCTTTTTCTTTCTTTTCTATACTTAGAAAAGCCATCTTATCTGTTACACCAACCGGCTTCTTGCTAGGATACGCATCAAGAGGTTTTACATCGTTACGGTCACATACTCGTCCTTCATCAGCGTATGCTTTCGTGATATAATTGACAAATCTCTTATCTT